ATATATATATAGAGAGTGATAATGGATGTGTGAACAAATGAAGACCCAAGCTTTAATTGCGATTTGGTTGGAAGAACAGGTACAAGATCAGGACAGCATGACAAGAAATAAAAAAGTTTTTTGAATAATGTGCTAGGGCAACACGGTATTGGAAAATGTCCAAATGTCACGACGCAATTTTGTTGCAAAAAATTTTGGGGTATTTATAAAGCAAGAAGAGGAGTTCAACATACACTTCTCAGAAACCCATCTATGAGTGATTTAAACAGCAAGGATGAAAATGATTATGATTGTCTCAGAGAACGCATACAGAGCTCATGCAAAAGCAGCGGAGGTAAACTTTAAACTGATATTTTTAATTGATATACTAGATAATCTTGAAAAGTAATAATTACTAAAATTGCTCTTATGACAGTGTAAAAATGTTTTAGCAAAACGTAAACTCCCCATCCATACAGAATTAAAGGTATTAATCTAGCTGACTAACGAGAATTGCATATGCATAACTTGCGGTGTTGGTATTAATATTGCATGTCCAGCCCTATGATATACAATAGCCATTTTTTTAATTCAGTACAAAATACCCCGCCTTGCGTTGTGATGTCATTCAGCAGTGGTATCGGTTTTTATGCCAGTGGAATACCAACACCTTGAAGTACCGTACTATTGATGCTTTCTTGAAGTACCAAAAGTACAGTACCTGGTGCGGCAGAAAAATGTCCCAAATTTCATGGAAAACATTTTATATAAATAGATAGATACAGGATCACCTCGGTCTCAGCCCAAGCTTCCTCATTCCTGCCCAACAGGGGAGCCCAAGTTCAGTCTTTGCTAGACTGAAATGAAGGTCACGGTCACTGTTTTCACCACGGGTACCTGTTAGGGTTTGAAATCTCTTCAGCCAATTTTCCTATCATCTCTTGGTGTTGCTGTGCAATTGTCATATGTAGTGTCTTAATCGCTATCAGATTGCATGATTATTTTATTTGGGGTTTAGTTTATCAATATGATGCATCCAGTGGCTCAAGTAGATGCCGGATCTGGAAGTCAAAGCCATGAAATCCTTTAGAGGATCAGCTAAGGAGCAGAGTCTCCCACGCTAAGGGCAGGGGGGACAGCGTACTTACTGGTAACATCAAAAGTGCAGCTCATCCCTATAGAGCAGCTATATTTGGAGTTAGTTTTTGAAGTTGGAGATGAAATGCAGGCTCTCTTGCGCTGTTTGCTGGTGGGTGGACCTCGTTCTTCAAAGGTGTGATTCGAATTATGACATTTATGACCTTGGCCTACAGCACAGCATTCCTCTAACAGGTGTCAACGTTCTCCCTCTCAGAAGCCACGTCTGAGGTGGTCGCACGTGCTGCATGCTCATTATTCTGGTTAAAAAGTTCTGCAACAGGAGCCTCCTTTATCTCAGTAACTTGAGTGCCTTGGAGAAGCTTTACTTAGAGTGTGTGTTTGTGGCTACTGTTCACAGGTTGTCCTTAATTTTAACGTATCTTTCATGATAACATGCGTCACTGCATTTCAAATGAAGTGCCTGTGAATGTTCCCTTACTGTGACAACAAAGCTGCCATCAAACTCACTGCATCAGTTTCATTTGCAATATTAAGCTTTGTATTATTTAAAACTAGATGTCGAAGTTAAGGGACACAGAAATGATCATTCTGTATTGGCTTGCCCAGAATCCCAGGGTTATTTTTAATTATTTGATCCTGGTTGCATTTTGGTCTTTTTGTTGGACTGGCTAAGGTCTTCGTTTATCTCCTTCAGGTCTCACTCTGCCATTGCCTCCTCCCTGTTTTTCCCTGAGAAAAATCGCCCTCACCGTGACACCGTGACCTTTCACATGTTAGCTGTGCATTCAGGGATTTCTTGCTCAAGTTGCCTTCACACTAACGTACAGGCTGCCTGGAGACGTGTCACGTCTAGGGGCTGGATGACCGTTCCATGCCAAAATGTGTCCCTTTAAGACCCAGGCGGGCTTTAAGTCTTGCTGGCTAATGGTGCTCATTTGTGTGGTTTCAGATCAGATCTCACTGTCATTACATTCTTTAAAAATGTACTTCTGAAGGGGAATGGGGAGTCATGTTTCTTAAACCACACAGTGCATTTGATTCCTCACAGATTACTGTGATTTACTACCTGAGCCCATGTTCCTCCAAAGGGACTTGCTGAACTGCATTCCTCATATTCCTTATAAGAAATACTGTAATTTTCCCCTCCTGCTAAGCTTAGTGCCAGACCTGCTGCTTGGAGGTATACACCTGCAGATTACATGAGGGCTCAGCTGTAGGCTGCAGTGGCCTGGAAGACTGCAGTGTTGGCCCTTGGGGTCAAAGTTCAGCTCTTGTTGTCAAGCATGTCCATCACGCTGAAGCGACTCGGTTGAGCTCTGAACATTGTTGGCGCTCTTTGTGTTGGCCTTGCTCGGTCATCAGTAGGCTTTCGTGCAGCCAGGCACGCCTGGAGATATAGGCCCTTGATTCCATTAATGGGATGGGCTCATGACTGTAACTATAGTGATACACGGAGCATGTGACTGTAACTATAGCAACACATGGGGCACTTGACAGTAACTATAGCGACATGTGGGGCACGTGACTGTAACTATAGTAACGTGGGCCACGTGACTGTGACTATGGTGACACACGGAGCATGTGGCTGTAACTATAGCGACACATGAGGCATGTGACTGTAACTCTAGTGATACAGCTCAGCTGATGAGGTCTCAGCCTCTGGAATAGGACTCGAAAGGTTTCGGTCCTGGAGGACCTCGGTTTGCCCCCTGGTTACTGGTGATTGCGAGTACTCAGGAGCTGGAATGCTGTCGGCAGACGCAGAGCTGCAGACAGTGACCGCCTAATGTGGCAGCGAGGAGGGCGGGCTTCGGTGAAGAGGTCCATACAAAGACCTTGCAACGTCCTGCCATGTTAATTAATGATCTCCAGCCTGATGGAGGTCTCTACCTCTCTCTGGTACTTTATCCATTGAGCTCGCAAATGTCACGGTTCCACTCGAGCATCGATTGTTCCCCGAGGTATGAGGAACACCTTTAATTGCAGTGTCACGTTCTGACCTAAATGCCAGGCCAGTTGGACGCAGACTCGGGCCTTTCTAAGCTGCCCCCTCTGAGGTGTTCCTCAGCTGTCGGTGGGGCTGTTGACCGTTGCCTTCCCCTCACTCCATCTATTAATGTCTGCTGCTCTTGGGCAAGAGTGCCGTTCTGCAGACGTCCTGAGGTTTCCCCTCGCGTGCTGAGTGCTGCTCTGCCTGTCCATTAGCCAGATGTAGCTCAGGCAGACCAGCTTTGGATGACCTTGCCCGTTTCTCGCACATTGTGTACAGGAAGTGAGCCTTTAGCTAGCAGCGATAGGGAATGGTGCCACGGGGCCGCTGTCAAAGTCTGTCCTCTGCTGCATGGTGAAGCTTCACCCCATTCTTCTGGAATGCATTTCACCATAAGTTAAAAGCTGTAGATGGTAGGATTGAAAGCTGGAAGTCCCTCACAAGCTGCTGCCATTAGATTTTTAAGGTTTTTCATTTTCTTTCTCTCCATGGCATCAGGAGGATGGAGTTGTACTGTTATACGCAAGATAAGAGAGTTTACCCTTTGAAATAAAAGCAAGCAGTATAAAAACGCACATAAGTAGATAAAGTGATGAATAATAATGAAGTTGGCGTCCTTGGCTTCTCTTACCTATAGAAATACACTTTACACTTTGTGAGAAATTATACAGCACTGAAAAAGTCATTGTCGGCGGGAGGTGTGAGCAACGGCATCACGGCCAAGCGTAGCGTTCTGGGTGACATGGGCAAATTTTTCCAGAGATTCTGAGATGGTTGCTTTGTCACAAGGAGGATCGTCGGCTTGTGCGTTTAGATCCGCGCCCCGTTCATCCAGAGATTCTGACATGCTGGGAGCCAAGAAGCAGCAGGATGGTTATAAATAGCCCTGGATCCGTGGTGGTGACCTGCGCTCCCCCGTTGCGTGTTCAGATGTTCCACGCTGTTCCACGCGGAACTGCAGCTCCACCTTTTGTTTTGGTTTCCTCTGCCTTGGCCACGTTTTGGACAGCGCCTGAGGACCGCGGGGGGAGGTTACCTGTCCAGGTCACTGTGGCAGCATCTATATCTACCCTCCTTTGAAGGACGCACTGTGGTATTCAGCCTCGCTGCAGGGCTGTGCTCCTTCTGGGCCAGATGTGAGCAGATGTTCACTCTTCCCCGCCTGAACCTCGCATTCTGTGCCTTGCTCAGCTGTCCCGTGGAGGGGGTCGTTGTGCTTCTCATCTGTGTGTGATGGAGCTGTTACTCGCTGTCTCACCGTAGATTTGGCTTCTGAGAGCTTTCTGTGGAATCCAGAGAAGATCTCCAACGTCCCCCTGTACTTTAGTAGAGGGCTTTGTGTCTATCTCTATCACAGTGAATAAATAAAAACAATAATAAATACCATATTCAGCTGCAATATCTATAAAGAATCATAACTTTTATTCATCGTTTACAAAAAGGATGAGAAATTTGTTTTTGGTAGTATGGCATGAGTATACAGTTTAAATGTACCATCAAGACAGAAAATATGCAGATAAGCAAACCAATAAATAGAATGATGATAGAGAAAGAGAATAAGAAAATGCAGTGTAGTTCATAAATAAATAAACCTGTAGCCATATGTGGGGTACAAATGCTTAGAGTCAGTGGGAGTACACAGACCCGTTTCCCTCCATTCACCTTTCCTTCCTTCGCTATGGCCCTGTTTCCCTCTGCTCGCCTTTTTCATTGCCTCCATTCTGTCGGTCATAGCTTATGAGCCCACAGCTCCAACGGAGTCACCCCCTGCACTCAGGATGCCACCCAGGGCACCTTCAGACTGTCAGGGATGTTCTAGAAGCATAGTCTGATGGTCGACGAGGCAGGGGACAGGCTTGCAGGTCCTCATGCGCTACGTCTCCTGCATTCTTCCTCTGACTAACCTGAAGCTGCATCACTGCCTTTCCAGTTGGTCTCCAACGTGCTGATATTCTCCTGCACCAACATCGTGGGCGTCTGCACGCACTACCCAGCCGAGGGCTCCCAGCGGCAGGCCTTCCAGGAGACCCGGGAGTGCATCCAGGCCCGGCTGCACTCACAGAGGGAGAACCAGCAGCAGGTGGGCTGTGAGGGGCGGTGCTGGGGTGGGCCGTGAGGGGGGGTGCCGGGGTGGGCCGTAGGAGTAAGGGCACACAGGGAATGCAGCAGGGTCACCACACTGAAAAAGGCTCAGACAGTCTGTGTATCAGACTGTGCAGGTCCAGATCCAGCACCTAAAGAGCTCAAGATCATTTCATGTAGTCTCAGATGATCGTGAATGATCAGTTGCTTATGCCTGTACTAGTGCTGTAGTTCTCGAGATCGGTCTTGAGACCAATTTTTTGTGGTCTCAATCTTGTCTTGGTCTCGACCCTATTTGGTCTCGGTCTTGTCTTGGTCTCGGACATAGTGATCTCGATGGGATGGGGAAAAAAAGAGAAAACAGCACATCCTCACAGAACAGTATCATTATTCATTACGCGCCTCAATTCAAATGCAACCAGTCAGATGCATCTTCTTTAAAAATGGTACATTGTATACATTTTCTCAATGGACACAGTGCTTCACAGTCCACACACTTCATACACATCGCATGATAGCGAAGTCGGCAAAGAAATGTTCCAAAACGTCACCACGCGTCACCATGTCACATGGTACAAAATCCTCGCGAGAGCAAGATGACTTGAGACAGACCGTGCAGCACAAACTGGAACCGCCTCCGTGACGACACAACTTTGCCCATATTGGCTGAAGATTTTAGTCACACACATGACGTTTGTATCCCAGGAAATTCCAAAGCGTTATCTGCTATTTCTCCCAAAAAGCACATAAAGCAGTGAGAACTGGTTTCAGTTCATTTACTGGTAAAATAAAGTTTAAATAAATTACATAAATGCTCTAACAGTACACGTAAGTTACTGGTTTATTTATTGTTAGTTACTGTAATGTCGTGCTGCTTTATTTGTTTAATTGTCAGACATACCCAGACATACTAATGAGACATGCCGATCAGAAAGACATACCTATCAGAAAGACATACCCATGAGACATGCCCATCAGAAAGACATACCCATTAGACATGCCCATCAGAAAGACATGCCCATCAGAAAGACATACTTATCAGAAAGACATACCCATGAAGACATACCAATCAGACATACCCATCAGACATACCCATCAGACATGCCGATCAGAAAGACATACTGATCAGACATACCAATCAGAAAGACATACCTATCAGAAAGACAAACCCATCAGACATACCGATCAGAAAGACATACCTATCAGACATACCGATCAGAAAGATATACCAATGAGACATGCCGATCAGAAAGACATACCCATGAGACATGCCCATCAGAAAGACATACCGATCAGACATATCCATCAGACATACCTATCAGAAAGACATACCCATGAGACATGCCCATCAGAAAGACATACCTATCAGAAAGACATACCCATGAGACATACCAATCAGAAAGACATACCTATCAGACATACCAATCAGACAGACATACCTATCAGAAAGACATATGTATCAGAAAGACATACCCATCAGAAAGACATACCAATGAAGACATAACAATCAGACATACCCATCAGACAGACATACCCATCAGACATACCCATCAGAAAGACATACCCATCAGACAGACCCATCAGACAGACCCATCAGACATACCGATCAGAAAGACATACCCATCAGACATACCCATGAGACATGCCTATCAGAAAGACATACCTATCAAACAGACATACCTATCAGAAAGACATACCTATCAGACATACCCATCAGAAAGACATACCAATGAGACATGCCGATGTTATTGTCCTGGAAATACAGCCTTACTCTTGGGTGTTATTCTCTGGTGTTATTCTCTGGTGTTCCTCCCTCAGTGTTACACCTCCAGTGTTACTCCTTGATGTTATTGTCCTGGAAATACGGCCTTTGCACTGCTCTCAGATGTTATTCCCCCATAGTTACTCTTTGGTGTTATTCTCTGGTGTTCCTCCCTCAGTGTTACATTCCCAGTGTTACTCCTTGATGTTTTTGTCCTGGAAATATGGCCTTACTCTTTGGTGGTATTCTCTGGTGTTCCTCCCTCAGTGTTACATCCCCAGTGTTACTCCTTGATGTTTTTGTCCTGGAAATACGGCCTTACTCTTTGGTGGTATTCTCAGTGTTACATCCCCAGTGTTACATCCCCAGTGTTACTCCTTGATGTTTTTGTCCTGGAAATACGGCCTTACTCTTCGGTGTTATTCTCTGGTGTTATTCTTCAGTGTTATTTTCTGGTGTTATTCTTCAGTGTCATTCTTCAGTGTTATTTCCTGGTGTTATTCTCTGGTGTCTTCAGTGTTATACCTATCAGAAAGACATACCGATCAGACATGCCGATCAGAAAGACATACCCATGAGACATGCCCATCAGAAAGACATACCGATCTGACAAATCCATCAGACATGCCCATCAGAAAGACATAACGATCTGACATATCCATCAGACATACCCATGAGACATACCCATCAGAAAGACATACCTATCAGAAAGACATACCGATCAGACATACCTATCAGAAAGACATACCCATGAGACATGCCCACCAGAAAGACATACCGATCAGACATATCCATCAGACATACCCATCAGAAAGCCATACCAATCAGAAAGACATACCTATCAGAAAGACATACCCATGAGACATGCCCATCAGAAAGACATACCGATCAGACATATCCATCAGACATACCGATCAGAAAGACATACCTATCAGAAAGACGTACCTATCAGAAAGACATACCGATGAGACATGCCCATCAGAAAGACATACCCATGAGACATGCCCATCAGAAAGACATACCTATCAGACAGACATACCCATGAGACATGCCCATCAGAAAGACATACCGATCAGACACATCCATCAGACATACCCATCAGAAAGACATACCTATCAGACAGACATACCCATCAGAAAGACATACCTATCAGACAGACATACCCATCAGAAAGACATACCTATCAGAAAGACATAACAATCAGAAAGACATACCTATCAGACATACCTATGGGAAAGACATACCGATCGTCCAATCTGTGAAGAAGGCATGCAGGTGATATTTGTATAGATTTATCTACACCCTTTTGGCAGTGCTGCCATTGCAGTCAGGTCTCACAGACTACGAGGAGTAGAAGTTGTCCGACTTAGCTGCAGTCAGTTTATACTCCACCTCTGCAGCCGCCGACAGATCGCGCTCCACGTTGCGTCAGCTGCAGTCGAACGCACCCATTGCTTCTTTAAGGGAGGATGGGCAAAATTACAACGTCGTCGGTGATTGGCTGTTGTGCTGGCGTTCAGCTGTGTCTGTCTCAGCGCATTCTCTAAAATGGAGCAAATTTGGTTGATCGAGTTTTATAGTCTGTGTGTATCATCGTGATCGTCCTTATTTTTTATCGATAAAATATCGAGATCGTTTTATCTCCCAGCACTAATAGCATAGTTATAATTCAATTAAATTAGGTATTTCACATTCATTAGAAAGCACGATCTTGGAGGTGCAAGTCAATCTGGAGGCTCATTCTCTTCAATTCAAAGCAGAGGATCATCACATAGCCGTATTCATAGCTTACCCGAAGGCCTCTCTCCCTGGTACTTAATATGAGCATCTTTCTGGTACATCCCATCTCTTTCCCTTGACGAGGTCTGATAAAATGGTTATAGGAGAGGATTGCTGAGAATATTATTTTCCATCAGGCCTCGTAACTATGACAAATCTGGGAGATTTTAAATGAGAGACATATGGACATATGGACAATATAATTGAAAAGATAACATGAATTTGATTTAACGAGTAATGACACTTTACAGCAATGCCTTTTTTCTCTACAGTTGATCTCAGTAATGTGATGTCGATTCTAGCCCTAGTCTGTTTTCGGTCTTGTTCTTGGTCTCGGCCAGTCTTGGTCTTGGTCTCGCCTTAGTATGTCTTGGTCTTGGTCTTGGTACCCTCAAGTCTCGGTAGTGCCTTGGTCTTGATACCCTTCGGTCTCGGCAATGTCTTGGTCTCGGTTTAGGCGGTCTTGACTACAACACTAGCCTGTACTTGTAGCTGGAGTTTTTATCCAGTACAATTATCAATGCAGCCCTTAGCTTCACTGGCTGAGCCGTGTGCAGGAACACGTGTGCAGTTGAACGGGACTCTATGTGGATCTCCACTGAGCTTGGGGGGAGTGGAGGGGGGGGCGTCTGCCTCTGTCACCGTCACCCCAGCAGGAGGGCTTTTCCAAAGAGCAGCTGTGTCACCCGTGTCCTTTCCCCCCTCCCACTCATCCGCCTCCCCCCTCCCCCTCGCTGCAGGAACGGCTCCTGCTTTCTGTGCTTCCCCGCCATGTTGCTATGGAGATGAAAGCCGACATTAACGCCAAGCAGGAAGATATGATGTTTCACAAGATTTACATCCAGAAGCATGACAACGTGAGGTGAGTGTAGCAGCACGCTAACCAGGGGGAGAGCGAGGGGGTGACGAGACTCACCCCGGACATGTGACTGTATGGTTATATATATATTACACTAAAACCTGTTATTTTGATGTTGTGGGGACTATTTCTGTCTCCACAAGGGGAAACTCTGTTTTATAAAAAATCTGTGATTGCAATCAAAAAACTAAAAACGTCAAAAGTCTTGCATTTTTTTTTTAGTTACTTATGGTTAAGGTTAGGGCTGGTTAGGGTTGTCATATGGCGTTTTTCCACTGCCACCAGGAGTGGAGGCGTACCTGACCTGTACCACGAATTGACGGTTTTCCCATTGTAAATTATCCGAGCCGTACCCGCGCTGGTGCTTACTAGCAGGGCCCAAAGCATGACTAAACTGAGCTGGTTGCCTCAATACCATCTGATTGGTGAAACTGCATGGAGATACTGGTGCTCTGCGTTGATATGCAAGGATTATCTCAAAGAAAAAAGGTACTATGGAACAGATAAATGGAATGGACTCGTAATGCAAATTACGCAAGCAAGGGATTATTCCAGACGTGTTGGAAAATCAGGAAATCAGCATGTAATAAATCATGATGTACACTATGTCAGCCGTTAATAAGCATCTCTTCAGTTTTACATCACTTGCTGTCCAAACCCAGCAACGCCTTTACCGAACCGACCATTCTGCAGTGGAGTACTGAAGCAGGCTGGAGCTGCACTGTAACCGCACTGTAACTAGTCTCAGTTCATGGTATGGGTCGAGTATGGCTCGGTTCCTGTATGCCAGTGGAAAAGTGCTAATATTTGGGATTAGGAAACGAATGAACGGTCCCCACAAAGATATGAATACAAACCTGTGTGTCTGTCTGTGCGTGTGTGTGTGTGTGTCTGTCTGTGCGTGTGTGTGTCTGTCTGTTTGTCTGTGCATGTGTGTGTGTGTCTGTCTGTCTGTCTGTGCATGTGTGTGTCTGTCTGTCTGTCTGTGCGTGTGTGTCTGTCTGTCTGTGCGTGCGTGTGTGTGTCTGTCTGTCTGTCTGTGCATGTGTGTGTCTGTCTGTCTGTGCGTGTGTGTGTGTGTCTGTCTGTGCATGTGTGTGTCTGTCTGTCTCTCTGTCTGTGCATGTGTGTGTGTGTCTGTCTGTTTGTGCATGTGTGTTGTTTACTGCTTTCCATTTGCCTTTAAATTAATAATTCTTGCAGGTTTCTTATGACAATGCACAGTAAACAAAAGTAAAGCAGAAAATTGTTTTCATTGAATTTCCTTTTGTCATGGTTAATTTTTGCTGTCTTTAAGTGGACTGAATTCCTCCTTTTTAAAGCATCATTAAGTCATACAGAGGCCTTGATGTGCTTTGACAGAGTTTGTAAAAGTGACTGAATAATAATGTGACTACAGTATGTTTTAATGTCATACAGGCTGCTATATTTATGCAGCTTAGACTCCGTGGTGGTCCTGTCCACAGCCTAGACTCCTGCCGGCCCCTGCACTCCCTTCCTCATGCGTTGAAGGTCTGTTTGTCCTTTCTGGCTGTGACTCTAACTGGGATCTGGATTTGAATTTCTGACATGGTGCGGCTGTTCATAGGGGTCTCAGTGCCACAGACTCCACGTGAATTTGTTTGCACTGAAGCTCTGTTCTGTTCCAGTCTGGAAACCATCTCAGGTATGCACATGGCCACTCTTGCATTTCCTCATCCCTGCTTAACAAGTGGCTTTTCATTCGGACTTAAACATTAATTGAATCTGAAGGACACTTCCAGGCCTCTTGCCGTTCAGAAGGTCCTGTAGATTGCTTTTGCCACTGCGTTACAGGGTCAAAATGGAGATGAGATGATGTCATCATGGGGCTGCCTTTGGATCTGTAGACCATTGAGAAACACCTGCACATCCTGTCATGCAGTACCATCAAACTCCTCTGAAATGTTCCTCAGAAGCTATATTTTCAGATGTGTATGTGTAGAGGGCCACCTGCCTGATGTAATCCAGGCCGGGTATGGGGCTTGGGGCCCCCCTAGCAGCCCCCCCCCCAGCAGGGGCCCCATTGGGCTTGTATAATGGCTCAAACCCTCTTGTGGCAGCATTGCCCTGCGATGTTCTGCAGCTCTGGGGTGCAGTCGTCCCTCAGCAGGCTATCAGATGACCTCCATACCTCCTCCATCATCATCATCTCCCCACCCATGTGCCAGGTCTTACCCACTGGTCTGGAACCTGCAGAGTTCTGAGGCTTTATCACCTCAGCCAACTATTATTTTTCATTTATTTGAATAAGTGTGGAATTTAATTCTGATTTTGTGGTGGATCTTAGGGAAATAAAGGCTCTTCTGTGGCCCAGTCTGTTGCTGTCATGGCTGCGGCCCGGGCTGTGTTCGGCACAGCCGCAGTCCAATCTATAGTCGCCGCTTCCGCAGGGTGGTCTGTTGTTGACACAGCTGTAGCCCGATCTGTGCTTGGCGCATCTGTAGCTCGGTCTGTGGTTGGCATGGCCAGTAGCCCGGTCTGTGGTTGGCATGGCCAGTAGCCCGGTCTGTGGTTGGCATTGCCGTGGCCTAGGTGTGCTGGGCTTGCTGTGGCCACTGTTATTACCGTAAACTAACACTTAAACAAAAACGGACCCTTGAATAAAAAATTAGTTGTGAAATGAAATTAAAATGAAAACTATATATACCAAAAAACATGTCGGACTTTAGACTGCAAAAAGTACTGCCATCCACCAACATCATTTTACCTTTTTTCTGCAATAAAAGATGTCATGGCTGCTGAGCTGTCCCTTTCTTCACCACCACTTCAGTGTTTATCACTTCCATAATATACCACAACAATACCATGTGGCCTGCTCCACTAATCAAATTTATTAACCATAAGGATACACCAAATTTATACAGAATACTAACTTTTGGGCATTACAATATGCGTCTTATTAATATTTTAGGCGTATTACTAATATGCTTATTGAATTGTGGGCATAAGTAAGTTCTTTATAGTGCCGAAAAGCCGCGGTCTGTTATCTAAAGCCCTGCAATAACATACAGCTTGTTGTTATCAAAACAAAGTTATTTTACATGAAACAGTAAATTTGATTTTCTGGAGGAAAACTAATCGTTTAGATTAAGCAACCAATTGGTAAAATAGTTGATAGATTAATTGAAAGAAAAATATCGGCAGCCCTACAATGGCCCAGTCTGTGGTTGGCATGACCAAAACCCGGTCTATGATTGGCATGGCCGCAGCCCAGTCTGTGGTTGGCGTGACCAAAACCCGGTCTATGATTGGCATGGCCGCAGCCCAGTCTGTGGTTGGCGTGACCAAAACCCGGTCTATGATTGGGACGGCTGTGGTCCGATCTGTGGTTGGCTCAGCTGTGATATAGTTTAGATTAAAGGTAAAGGTAGCTGATTACGAGAAAGATCTCGGTATGTATGTTGATGCTTCCATGTCCCACTCTCGCCAATGTGGGGAAGCAATAAAAAAGGCGAAGAGAATGTTGGGTTATATCTCTAGATGTGTGGAGTTTAAGTCAAGGGAGGTGATGTTACACTTA